GCGGAGTACATGGCAGCCTCGGAGGCAGCACATGAAGCAATATGGATGAAGGAGTTCATCACCGACCTAGGAGTCATACCCAATGCGTCGGGGCCAATCACTCTCTTCTGTGACAACACTGGAGCTATTGCCCTTGCCAAGGAGCCCAGGTTTCACAAGAAGACCAGGCATATCAAGCATCATTTCAACTCCATCCGTGAAAATGTTCAAGATGGAGACATAGATATTTGCAAAGTACATACGGATCTGAATGTCGCAGATCCATTGACTAAACCTCTTCCGCGAGCAAAACATGATGGAATGGATCTCTGTCGAATGCGCTCCGATGAATGCTCGCGGAGGGAAGATGGTGTCGTTTGGATCTAAATCCCTGTCTCTTTTATAGGCAGCTCATTTGTGCAGTTAGGGGGGTAAATGAAAAAACACCCTGTCTTTTCGCATTCGTTTGACACGTGGAAGATGGCCATTATTGGGCACAGAAGCCAAGAAGCGCAACATTCACCAGAAGCCGGACATTATTCAACAGGTATATGGAATTTGGAGAAAACCCGCCTTGCAATGCCGAAGACAAATCTGCGTGCCGGACTCATCAACATTGAAGCCTGGTTCGGGGGCTACTGAGGGAGTCCCGTATTAGGGGGTGTCCGGATAGCCGGACTATGACCTTTGGCCGGACTCCTGGACTATGAAGATACAAGATTGAAGACTTCGTCCCGTGTCCGGATGGGACTTTCCTTGGCGTGGAAGGCAAGCTTGGCGATACGGATATGTAGATCTCCTCCTATTGTAACCGACTCTGTGTAACCCTACCCCTCAGGAACAACAGGAAATTCATAATCATTCCGAGATCTTTCATCATCACTATCATCAATAATAGCATCTTCAATAATTTCGTTCTCTCTAGCCCTAGCAAGTTGTTCATCAAGAAATTCACCTAATGGCACAGTAGTATCACGCACAGAAGTAGTTTCATCATAAGTATCATGCAAAGCAGAAGTGGCATCATCAATAACATGCGACATATCAGAATTCATAGCATTAGCAGGTTTAGGTGTTGCAAGCTTATTCATAACAGAAGGAGAATCTAGTGCGGAGCTAGATGGAAGTTCCTTACCTCCCCTCGTAGTTGAGGGATAGATCTTGGTTTTAGCGTCTTTCAAGTTCTTCATAGTGATCAACAGATATAAATCCCAAGTGACTCAGATAATAGAGCTATGCTCCCTGGCAACGGCGCTAGAAATTAGTCTTGATGACCCACAAGTGTAGGGGATCGCAACAGCTTTCGAGGGTAAAGTATTCAACCCAAATTTATTGATTCGACACAAAGGGAGCCAAAGAATATTCTTGAGTATTAGCAGTTGAGTTGTCAATTCAACCACACCTGGATAACTTAGTATCTGCAGCAAGGTATTTAGTAGTATGATAGTAATGGTAACAGTGGTAAAGGTAAAGATAGCAAAAGTAATGTTTTTGGGGTTTTGTAGTGATTGTAACAGTAGCAACGGAAAAGTAAATAAGCGAAGCACAATATATGAAAAGCTCATAGGCAATGGATCAGTGATGGATAATTATGTCGGATGCGATTCCTCATGTAATAGCTATAACATAGCGTGACACAGAACTAGCTTCAATTCATCAATGTAATGTAGGCATGTATTCCGAATATAGTCATACGTGCTTATGGAAAAGAACTTGCATGACATCTTTTGTCCTACCCTCCCGTGGCAGCGGGGTCCTAGTGGAAACTAAGGGATATTAAGGCCTCCTTTTAATAGAGAACCGGACCAAAGCATTAACACATAGTGAATACATGAACTCCTCAAACTACCCTCCCGATTATTGTCACTTCGGGGTTGTCGGATCATAACACATAATAGGTGACTATAGACTTGCAAGATAGGATCAAGAACACACATATATTCATGAAAACATAATAGGTTCAGATCTGAAATCATGGCCCTCGGGCTCTAGTGACAAGCATTAAGCATAGCAAAGTTATAGCAACATCAATCTCAGAACATAGTGGATACTAGGGATCAAACCCTAACAAAACTAACTTGATTACATGGTAAATCTCATCCAACCCATCACCGTACAGCAAGCCTACGATGGAATTACTCACGCATGGCGGTGAGCATCATGACATTGGTGACGGAGGATGGTTGATGATGACGACGGCGACGAATCCCCCTCTCCGGAGCCCCGAACGGACTCCAGATCAGCCCTCCCGAGAGAGATTAGGACTTGACGGCGGCTCCGTATCGTAAAACGCAATGAAACTTTCTCTTTGATTTTTTTTCTCCGTGAGACGGATATATGGAGTTGGAGTTGAGGTCGGCGGAGCCTCAGGGGGCCCACGAGACAGGGGGGCCGCGCCCAGGGGGGAGGGCGCGCCCCCACCCTCGTGGACAGGGTGTGGGGCCCCTAGTCTTGATTCTTTCTCCAGTATTTTTTATATTTTTCAAAAAGTGACTCCGAGGATTTTCAGGACATTCCGAGAACTTTTGTTTTCTACACATGAAACAACATCATAGTAATTCTGCTGAAAACAGCGTCAGTCCGGGTTAGTTTCATTCAAATCATGCAAGCTAGAGTCCAAAATAAGGGCAAAAGTGTTTGGAAAAGTAGATACCTTGGAGACGTATCAATGTGCTTCCTACAAATGGCACTGCTACATTATCTTTGTAATGACTAGGTTGTTGCAGTACAACTGGTTCTGGCTGTGTTGATGGCCTCCTCACAAACTCAAACTGATTCATATCCTCATCTACGTCAACATCAGGGAATATAACCTGGAAAGGAATAGGTGCCCCTGTCTCTGGATCTGCGTCTGCCCCTGCCTCTGCATGCTCTGTTTCTTCCTGATCCTCTACAGTGTGTGCAGTACTGATGTGAACTCTCTTTGTAGGGCTCAAGACTGGAGGCAAATGTGCTCCTGGATTATGGACAACATCATCTTCATCTGGATTAGCATGAAAGCTTTGATCATGATCCAGGTAGATGCTAAAGAAGTGGTGCCCAATATCAACAAACACCATCATCCTATTTGCCTGCTCATCATCACTCAGTTCCCTCAAACCATTAGTGTTGGGTGTAAGAGTTGGGATGCAGTAGAAAACCTTGAGCCTGCCTGCCATCTCATAGCCTATTTCCTCAACTAGACTTTCAACTAAAATTGGTGACCAAGTTACCTTCTCCACATGATCATACCAAATGGAACGGCCATTGACATAAGCACGGTTCGTTCCATGCCCAACAAAAAATCCACCATGATTGATCTTCACAGAGAAATTGCTGCTTCGACGACCTGACACAGCAACACATGTACAACATACATCAGAATCGACATAAATCTCCACATCAGCATCAATTTATTTGAACATCTAAAACCCTAAGCCCCAATTCCGGTACCCCCAAATCCCATGCGAAAACCCTAGCAGAATTCGGCCTATCTACCAACTACAAAACATCTAGTAGGGCAATGCGGGCCGAAAAAGAGGGTTTTTGAACATCAAAACGGCAAAAAAGGGGGATTCTTCATATTAGGGGACTTACTGTACACAGGGGCCGCCGCCCCTTCTGCACGACGAACAGGAGACATCGACGCCGCCTCCCACGGGTGGCGAAGGCGCGCGGCGGCGGTGCCTCCTCAACCACGCACGAAATCGGGCCGTCGCCTCCCCAATCCTCCGATGATCGCGGGGCGGCGTCACCTATGCAGCTCCCCCTTTCTCTATCGACGAAGACGAACAGGCAGGTGGAGTGGTGGAGGGATGAATGGGGGATGCGGCGTCGCCCGAGGGCTTTTTTGCTTATTTCCACAGCCGCGTCGCCCCGGCTCGCCACCTGTCCCCAATGAGCGGTCAACACGTGGTCAAACAGCGTGTATGCACCACATACAGTGACCGTATTTTCACGTTCCGTCGTATTCAGTGACCATAGCGAGCGTATTTCAAAGTTGGGTGGCCGTATTGTGCTTTCAACGCAATTACAGTGACCGTGGGTATATTTATCTCTAATCTGAATCCACGGTACTAGTTAGAAAAAAAAACGCTTTTCGCACATGTCCAGGTTTCCACTCTCCACAGTGAGGACTTCTCGGCCGGCCGACATGCCTGGGGCTCACGGGGGGCGGCTACACCGCGCCACCCGATAAGCTCCACCCCTCCCGGCCGGACCCCCGCGAGATTCCTCTGACTCTGCGGTCGGAAAGGTGCGAGCCTCTCTGCAGAAAGGTGCGCGCTCTGCTCTTTGGTGTGCGGGCAACGGAGTGCACTCCATGTGCTCGACGAAATGCCCCTGAGACTCAGAGGGACGTACAGGTACCTTACCTTAATGACATCATTCAGTATGTGCTGTGCGCATTTGGCATTCTTGCGCTAGAACACTGAGAACAAAGGTTCAGAGACAACACAAAGCTCCCGCTCCCGCTCAGAAAAAGAAGAGACCACTCTAACTTGAGTAAGCAGTTACAGTTTTTGGTATTGCTACCAGAGATGCTATGGCCTTAATCTCCCAGACCACCCATACTGCTCATGAAATGAAAATCATATAAGACTGGTCTTCATTACTGTATCAAATTAGACCCCTCTTAGAACATAACACTCACTCACACAGCAATACTAATCTCAAAGTTCTTATCTCTTAACTTCCTCAGTTTCTCTCAAGTATTAACCCATCTGTTCTGCTTCTATATTTTCCAATTGTTCCATTAAATGAGCTGCACGCAACTTCTCACATGAGTCCATGACTAACGTCGACAGCAAAATAATCTGTCGTAGTTTACAAGGAGCACCAAGGAATACTTATGAATACAAGGTAGAAATAACCAACGCAGAGCACAGCTGAGCGAGCTATTAAATTGGAATCCACATCCAGGTTGGCTGAAAGACAGAGCAGGTCTTGCCTTATGCTAGGATTTTCTTGCGCTCACCGCCTCCCCCTTCCTGGGAAATTCAGTCAACACTTGCTCACCAGTTGTCCTTGATGCAGATCTGTGCATGCACAACACCCATATACCATTTCTCTTCTGCATAGCGCTTGTATTCCCTGTGTCTATGCGGTGTGAGTTGGGAGCAACCATGGCTGAGTATGCAGTTGGGCCGCTGATCTCCATGCTGAAGGACAAGGTGTCCAGCTACCTTCTGCAGCGCTACAAGGTGATGGATGGCATGGAGGAGCAACGTGAGATCCTGGAGCGGAAGCTGCCAGCCATCTTGGACATCATGGAAGATGCGGAGGAGAAAGGAGCTTATCGACCTGGAGCAAGCGCTTGGCTCAAAGCACTCAAGAAGGTGGCCTGCGAGGCGAATGATGTCTTCGATGAGTTGAAGTACGAGGCTCTCCGGCGCGACGCCAAGGAGAAAGGGCACTACAAGAAGCTTGGCTTTGATATGGTAAGCCTGTTCCCTGCGCACAACCCCATTGTGTTTCGTTACAGGATGGGAAAGAAGTTGTGCAGGATTGTGCGCGCCATTGAGGTCCTTGTCACAGAGATGAATGACTTTGGATTCCAACACCTGCAGCAAGCCCCACCATCCAAGCAGTGGCGTATCACGGATTCGATACTAATCGACTCCGACAGGGATATTGTTAGTAGGTCCAGAGATGAAGAGAAGAAAAAGATCGTGAGTATATTGATTGATCAAGCTAGCGTTGGGAGGGATCTCATTGTCCTTCCTATTGTTGGAATGGGTGGGCTGGGCAAGACCACCTTCGCTCAGCTTGTCTACAACGACACTGCAATCAAGGAGTATTTCCAGCTCCGGAGGTGGAGTTGTGTGTCAGATGATTTTGACGTTGTTAAGATTGCAAACTGCATCTGTCAGACCCGTGAGAAAGATCGTGACAAGGCATTGCAGGACCTTCAGAATGAAGTAAGTGGGAAGAGATACCTTATTGTGTTGGATGATGTATGGAATGAAGATGGTGACAAGTGGGAAAAACTCAGGACCTGCCTGAAGTATGGTGGCAAGGGTAGTGCAGTACTGATGACCACTCGTAAAGAAAAAGTAGCTCAAATTATGAAGATGTGTATTGATGATAGTCATAATCTCGGAAAGCTATCTAAAGTATTTCTGAAGGAAATATTTGAGAATAGAGCATTCTGTTCGCAAAAGCCAAATGCTGCTGAGCTAAGTGACATGGTGGAAAAAATTCTGGACAGATGTGGGGGCTCTCCTTTAGCTGCCAAAGCCTTCGGATCTATGCTGAGACGAAGACTAGCATGAAAGAATGGGTGAACGTACTAACCAGAAGCAACAGTTGCAATGCAAAGACAGAAACTTTACTTATACTCAAGCTCAGCTATGATGACTTGCCATCGCACTTGAAACAGTGCTTTGCCTTTTGTGCTGTATTTCCAAAAGATTATGAGATTGACGTGGAAATGTTAATCCAGCTATGGATGGCACATGATTTCATACCAGTGAAGGAAGATGACAATCTTGAAAAGGTAGGCAGAGAAATTTTCGCCGAGCTAACTTGGAGGTCATTTTTTCAAGATGTCAAGCGAACCCCTCGTCCAAGAGAAGAGAACGAGAACCGTTCTAGAACTAGAACAGTATGCAACATACATGATCTTATGCATGACATTGCCTTGTCTGTTATGGGAAAAGATTGTCTTACTATAGTTGATTGGCCTAATCAAAAGGAGCTGTTGTCAGCAGGCCCAACTCGTCACCTGTTCACTTCATCTGGGTTCAGCGGAACCCTTTTGCATGATTATCTGAAGAAACAGTCTTCAGCTCTTCAGACACTGTTGCATAATGCATGGAGCACAGGCTCAGCACCACCATTATCGAAGTACAATCATATGCGAGCACTGCAACTCTGTAATTTGAGAGAACTTCCACTTCAACCAAGGAACTTACATCACCTGAGGTATCTTGATCTCACAAACAGTTCTATCAAATATCTTCCCAAGGAAATAAGCACATTGTATAATCTACAGACTCTTAAACTTTCATATTGCACGAGACTTGGTTGACTTCCAAAGGATATGAAGTATATGACAAATCTCTGTCACCTATATACTAATGGATGCACATCATTGGAGTGCATGCCTCCAGACCTCGGGCAACTTACTTCTCTTCAGACTCTAACATATTTTGTGACGGGCTCTAGTCCTGATTGTAGTACTATTAGAGAACTACAGGACTTAAATCTTGGTGGTGAATTGGAGCTTTCTTCTCTTGAATATGTAACTGAAGAGCATGCTAAAGCATCCAATCTTGGAAATAAGGAGAAACTCACTCATTTATCTCTTAAATGGAGTGATCATACGACTGACGTACTGGACCAGCATAGGAGTGTGCTTGATGCTCTTAAACCTCATGCTATGCTGGAGTTTCTAGGAATATCTTCATATGGAGGTACTGGTTTCCCAACATGGATGACAAGTCTTACTTTTCTGCAGCATTTGACTAGGCTCCACCTAGATGGTTGTACAATGTGTGAGGAATTTCCACAATTCGGCCAATTTAAGGCTCTTGAAGTTCTTGTTTTAAAAAGGTTGAACAAATTGCAGAGCCTATGTAGTCACAATTCATCTGCAGCGTTTCCAGCATTAAAAAATCTCAGTTTGGAAAATTTGGATGCTTTTGAGAGATGGGCGGCAACCGAAGGAGAGGAATTAACATTTCCTATACTTGACAATGTTGTAATTGTGAACTGCCCAAAGCTGACAACTCTACCTGAAGCACCAAAACTCAAAGTTATAGTGCTAGCAGAAGACAAGGCTCAACTATCCTTATTAGTGTTAAGATCCAATTACATGCCTTACTTGTCTGGGTTATACCTATCTGTCAGCGATACAGAAGCAACACCAACACCGAAGCTTGACCAAGATCATGAAGTGTCTCTTTCCGTCATGAATTTGACTGGTTGCAGCTTTTTGTTCTCATCAAGTCTATTGCAGTCAGCAGGTGGGGTCTGGAAATGGTTTGGTCAGCTTGTGAGGTTGCATATTAGTTCTTTTGATACGCTCATCTACTGGCCTGCAGAAGAGTTTCGAAGCTTGGTATCATTGCATAGTATGATAATTCGAAATTGCAGCAAGCTAATAGGCCCCGCCCAGGTGAAAGGATGCCGTACTCGAGGTAGGGATCAATTCCTGCCAAATCTAACTGCCCTATATATAGCTGGTTGTGGGAACTTGACAGAGCTTTTCGTTCTTCCCTTGTCCCTCACGACTCTGAACATTTATGAGTGTTGTAATCTTGAGTTCATACTGGGGCAGGATGATAGAGAGTTGGAGAGTCTACAACACTTCGATACAATAGCATCGTTGGAACACTGCGATGGCCTTGCATCCGAAAATATGCCAGAACAGTCGCCTTCACCCAGAATTAATCCTTTTCCATGTCTCATGTCTTTAACTATACATTACTGTAACAAGATTCGTTCAGTGCGAACATAGTTAGATGCACTCACACGTCTGAGTATTAAGGATTGCAGTGGACTGGAGTCACTGGATTGTTTGGGTGACCTACCGTTACTGCGTAGATTAGTCATATTGAACTGCAAACATCTGGCATCTGTACCCGGTAGTACTGGGAACTACTCAGCCCTTGAGGTCATCCCAATTAAATACTGCCCAGCTCTAAATATGAAACCACTTTATGGACACCTTCAAAGACGGTGTCATAGCCTTGCACTCAAGGATCTGTCTGATGCTGGTTTAATCGATCCTTTTGAAGGTACTTTTCAATTTCAATTACCAAAATTTAGTTTCTTTTCTTTCCTTGCCTATTGTGTTGCTAATTGCACACCTTGCGACCTACAGTTTACTCTGCTTATGCTTTCACTTTTAGGAACACATTTGGTACCCATATTTTTCTGTTTGTTAATTCAAGGAAGTGTTCATAGAGTTTTCTCATGTCTCGAGTAAGTAGAGGTGCAGTTTACCCATAATCCAAAGTTAGGCACTATATCATAGAAATAAATCGAAGGTAGCCATGCCATTAATTTTGATCCTACAAATTTGTATTACCTAAATAGATGGGCCATGTCCTGGTTCCAGTGGTTATTGCATTTATGCGTTAACAAATATGCGTACACATATGTGACCACATCTATATTTTGTATAATTTGATGAAGTTAATACACTATAGAGATGGAATTATGCTCTTCTTGTGTGGCCACTGTGTACACAAATTGTTGTGACATGTGTATCCTGTTCTCATTTGTTTGTTTTTTTTGCGGGAATGTTCTCGTTTGTTTCTATGTTCCTGTAATTTTGACTTGGATGCATTTAATTTTTATAGAGATATCCTGACGTTTTATTTTTCTATGTACAGGGCCTCAACTATGGGTGCCAAAGTCTTGGAAATATGCTATTCCTGCACTTCGGACGCGCCAGTACCGGAAATAGCTATTATGTATGTATGTATGTATGTATGTTTGTGGAATTGATTTTTGCATCTTGAATTCTACAAGTATATATCCTTCTTTGGCTGAACATGTGGATCCATTGCAGGATGCTCCTGCACATAGAGAAGATGGACACTATCCATAGTTGCCCTCTTTGAAGGGAATCATCAGTGCGAGGTCTTGTTTTGCTTCCCGGTATTGTAAGTTGCTATGGAAGCGAAGGCAAGCCGGTCGAGGGCCTGAAGTCTCTGAAAAAACCGATTGCAGGTCATAGAAGAACCGCAGAAGGCAGTGCTGAGACCTGCTATGCTACTATCTGCAGAACAAGCTTGTCTGAGTAGGTATAGGTGCACTTGCATACAGTCGATCGTGTGCTAGCTAGCCGTTTGTCTTCATTCGTTCTCTCTGTGTGGTACTGGGTGATAGTTGTTGTATATATGCTGGCAGTTCGCTGTAATATGCTACAGGTATTTCACGCATCTTTTTTGAGTTTTTCAATATCCCTGTAGAGTAGAACATGGTCGGGTGATGGCCACTGTGGATTGCGTATGGCAGATGGTTAGCAATTCAGACTGCTGCCTGCATGTGTGTGTGTGTGTGTGTGTGTGTGTGTGTGTTGCCGCCTTGCCGGTCGATTTGTCGTAAACTTTGTAGCTCAAATTCCTCCCTCAGAGATCGGCTTCTCGAAGCTGGATTTTCCTTCTTCTTGTCTTCCTCTGTTCATTGCTCTGCTTCCTCTGTTTTGTTCTGCTTGTAGCTCTGCTTCCTTTGCCTTGTTCTCTTGTTATCTTTGAGCCGGACCAATGAGCGAACGCGAGCCATCAGCATCAGGTGAGTTAGTTGTTCGTGTCGCTTTGGCTTTGCTGCGAGTGCGAGCCATGGAAAGGAGCCGTGTACAGGGCAGTCGAGAGATGGTGGTACAAAGGCGTAGCGAGTCAGAACCAACAGCAGAGGAATATCTTCTTCTGTATGTAAAAGTAAAACAATGCCATACTGTCTGTATTTTGAGGGTAAAAACGTTCAGAGGTGTTAATGTGTAAATTGTCTCTTTGTATTTGAAGCCAGTTGATATAAAATACCCGCCCATACTTGAGTTTGTTCGTTATTAGTACGTACTCCCTCCGTCCGGAAATACTTGTCATTGAAATGGATGTATCTAGATGTATTTTATGTGTTAATAATGAGTAAGTTGAGATTTGAGAGGGGTGCCAGTGAGAGCTGTGCCTAACGTTCACACGAAACAGGCCCATCTCGTCATCAGCGGCCTGTCTCCATCTCTGACGAAGAACCGGACTTGAGACAAACTAATCAGGGGACTTCAGAGTTTCACAACAGCACGGCTTTTGTTCGGATCGTCACCGACGGACGAAGGAGCCAAAGCAAAGCCACCCATCAGGTGAGCTGAGTTGTTCGTGTCCGCTTGCTCTCGGGTGCGCCATGGAAAGGGCCCATGAACAAAATGGTGCTCGTTTTCGTCTCCGGTGGCAAAAAACCAAAAATCGTATAGAGGGAAATACATCAACGTCAAAATGATCAAGTACACCCGGTCTCTGCAAGTCTGCAGCGACATACGATCAAAAGCTCAACAGCCGACATCTGGCAAGACAAGTGACCTTGCAAAGAAGATGCCAAGTAAGGAGAAACCAAAGAAGAAGAAAAACAAGAAGTGTGGCGCCATCCGAAAGGCGTATGTGGTTTCATGATGAAGGGTGGTCAGTTTTCGTTAGTATGCTTGTTAGGAGTTTCATTGTGTTCTTCAAGTGTTGAGGGTTGCGGTTGTTGTTTGTTTAGAGGGCCGCTTAAGCGGTTTTGGTGTTTCCTACTTTGCGAGTAGTCCGCATTTGGGAGTCTGTATCGGTTTTCGTCTGGTTTTCCGTAAATTAACTGGGCAATTCTCTTCTTCTTAATTAATCGACGAGGCAAATATTCTTGCCTCCGTTTCGAAAAAAAAACATACGATCAAAAGCTAGCCGAGACATCCACCTAGGTGGGCAATTCCTGCCCCCATAGCCGCAGGCCTTCCAAAACTATGTATCCCCTAGAAAAATGAAGAAAAAAATTGGTTCAAGACCTCCACATGATTTTGTTAGACTTGATCTCCACATGTACGTATAAAGCGATCATGTCACAGGACCGACACATGTGTGCTTTGGTCTAACATATTTTAACGGCATTGCTCGTGAGTCACATGTTTTTTTTTTTTTTAAGATTAGTCACATGGATTTTTTCTGTAATACAGCCTCACTATGTGGATTGTGAGTGGCACCGGGAGAAAAAGGAATAGAGGGTGGATTGCATAATCCAAAATTTCCAACCCAGCTGAATGTGCTACGTACTTAAATTCGAATCCACGGCAAGACGAATATATGGGCCCCTAGCCGGTGAGCCAAAAAAAAAAAGATCAAGATAAGAAACACAACATTTGCCATGCTATACAGAAAAAGAATTTTCCGTGCCCAACTACCACATATTAATGATTTCAAACATATGTTTAAAAAATAAAAAGGGAGTTATCATGTTATAGATAATATATTTGACATGGATCTTAAACTATAATTTACCATGGTTTCAAAAACTAGCTATCCTACGACAGTGCAATTTGTCATATTTCCAAAATTTAAATTTGCCATGGATGTAAAACTTGCCATAGTCAGGGAAAGTAATTTGCCGTGGATGTGGAATTAAATTTTCCATAGAACTAATTTTCATTGGTGAGGATTTTTTTTTTGTAAAAAAGAATACCGCCATAGCAAAAAATGGTTATGATCCTCTGCCATGGCAAAAATCTTAAAATATATTATAAGAATTTTTCTATACATGCCATCCAACCAATACAAAACTAGTCTAACATTGCCATGAACTATGGATTTTCCTAACATTTTTGCCATAAAATAGTATTCATCTACTATAGTTTTTTTTGACATGGCACCTATACATACATCATGTCAACTTGATGTCAAAAAAATTTGGTTATGTTTCTTCGCCATGGAAAAAAACATGACATTTTTTCAGTTGCAAAAATTTGACATTTTTGCAATTCCAAACTTCATTTTTTTTTGTTATAAGAACAATTTAAACTTGCCATCTGATAAAAATAAAAATTGCCATGCTATGTACCAAACATTTGCCATGCTACATACAAAAGATTTTCCATTCCCCGTACATAAAATCGATCTCGTCAACATGTGTCGGGGCATGAACCGAATGCGATGTCAAAACTAAGATGCGAAGCGACACGTAGTGGAGGCAAAGTGAAACTTTAAACGAATCGTTTGTTTGTATGCATGTCGGACAAATTACAACATTGGAAATACAAGCATGGTCTAGGCCCACATGCGAATGATACTCGGCGGAATGTTCAAATGAGGCATGCGGGAGACTCGACCGGAGGCAACATGATCGATGGAGAAGAGGGTTGGAGAGGAATGAGAAATAAGCAAACGCCACATGATTATACTTGAACGGCTCAAATAAACAATAAGTTGTCTCGCTTGGCCTACATAGTGAAAGGCCTAATGCGCAACACGGAGCACTGACGCTCGAATATGGCCGGGAAAACAGGGAAACCGACATGTGGGGCACACCCATCGGGACGACGTAGCGCAGACTAGTCCAATGGAGGAGCTGGCCCACGACCTCCTTGCCACCGACAACCGTTCATGTGGGTCGTGGGGACAACAACGTGGCACATCTCCAGCACCGCCTCTGGACGCGGCGACCGCGGTGAGCGACACGCTCATCGTCGCTAGACACGTTCGGTTTCAGTGTGCCGAGGGTGGCGTTAGTGCTGTGGCACGACCAACAGTATGTTTGGTTTGTGCCCAAGGTTGCCCCATCAAAGCATTGGGTAGCCAAAATTTTGGTTGAGGTTTTGGTTGCCCACGATTTGGCCGACATTGGCAAGAAAAATGAACTAGAGTTGGCTAGAGTTCATTGGCATGCCAAAAAATGGCAACCATCCAAACAAAGACCAATCTTTGGGTCATGTCCAAAATTTTGGTAAGATGCACTTTGGCCACAATCCAAACACACCCCAACACCCGACTC